ATGATTCATATAAATTGTTTACTACGAATTTATATGTATATAATATACCATAGTCTAGAAAAATGTTATTACATTTAATGAATCAAATTAGGTTTTATTTTTTAAAATAATTTTGTTTTTATTTCATATTAATAGTATTATAGCAATAGTTCTAAACCTTTTAAAGCTGTCATTCCCTTGAGAAATATTATAACTTTTTACGTCTTCCCGAATACGAAAATGATACATTTGAGAAGTGTATAATTAAATAATATGTATGATTTAATATGGGTTTTATCATTTTTAAAGCTGGCTAATATCTATGGCTTAACCATTAGTTGAAATTTCAATATATTAAAAATATTAAAACTATAAAAGAAAGAATTATAGGAATATAAAAAATGTAATAAGTATAATAATAATTACCAATAATATGTTGGATTTCTTTAGCGGTTAAAAAAAAAGTTAGTTATACTAGTATTTATCATTATAGTTATCTATATTATAATTTATAAAGAAAAACATTGACCTTTTATAACTAACTGATTATAAGTAATTATAATGATATAAATCGTAATAAACATTTTATCTGATGATTTGGAACAATGATTGCATACAGAGGGGTTAAGTATAACATTATTTTTTTATGTATAAATAAATAAACAAACAATTTATTTATAAAAATGAATAAATACAAAAAAGCTTAGCTTATTCAATTGCGATTTTATTTCTTCATATTTGTTTGTAATTTTATTAACTTTGTATGGGCGTTGCTTGATTGCGACCCAAAGTAACCTTTTAACTTTTTCGCCTATCTCGGTTGCGGTCCATACATAATAGGCAGAAAATACTATTTTCAGTGGTTATCAAAACTAAATAAATATCCCGATTGAGTCTGATACGTATTTTGATATAAATATAATTATCGTATTCACGATTCACACGATCACCAATATTCGGCGTTGTTCTTTTTCAGTGTATTGAAGATAAATAAAAAAGCAGATGAACTGTAATCTTACAAGGTTGCTAGTGAAACACAGTTGTATATTGTGCTATTATCGATTACTAATTAAGTTAGTGATCTTTGGTACTTCATTTTATAAAGTGTCAATTATGAAAATTTACGAAATGATAAACAAATATTAGTAATATTTAACTATATATTTTGCTTTCATAAGTTATTAGCAAATGAGATAAAAAAATTATGATTTACAAATAAAAATTTTAAAAGTTTTTTTGAATGACAAAATAACGAAATTTCAATAAACAAAAGTAAATTTAACGTTAAAAATCACAAGCATGAAGCCGATACTGTAAATGTATTGAAATGTCAAAAAATACTCAAATTTATTAAAAAAAAGGCCATTGAAAATATTTGAAAGCGAACGTCAAAATCAATCCATGGTAGCTTAAATAAAAGTAGTAAGTCTATGATTTATAATTTCACATATATACGTATTATTAGTGATTACATTTTTCTTTTCGGTTATATTAATAGTAGTTGAGAATATTACCACAACAAATGCGTGTGAAAGTTTCCATTCAAAATCCAATTCACTATTTTATACTTCATATCCAAGTATATTTTCAATTTGTAAATTCTAAAACAATGCCAAACAGGTGCTAAAAAAAAATCTAATCAATAGTTTGAACTCCTAGGGAAATGATTAAACGAAATAATAAAAAAATAAATTAGGCAAACCCAAATTAAAAAATTTAAAAACATGGAAATATCTAATTTTGATTTTTTTAAGATAATGAGTTTTATATATCCATTTTTAACAGTAAAATTTAACACTGCAATTATTTTGCTTAATCTTTTTAATTTTAAATAATTATTTTACTATTCGACTTATATGTATATATACCATTTATGATGCATTTTAATGAAAATATATGTTTATAGAATTTAATTTTATTGATTATACACTATTTTGTGAACCTATGTGTGTTTGGACACAATCTTATATTTCGGATAAAATTATCAGTTAGTTATAATTATAAATTATCAGAACTAACTATCAGAATTCGAGCCATAATCGGGTATCTTCTCTTTGTATACATATATCGTAAACCTAATGTAAACCTAAAACCTCGCTACGCAAGTAAAACCCTGAATCGCCACTAATAAATAAATTACTAAATATTATAGTAGTTTCCATCAAAATCAAACATTGTATACCATTATTTTATTTTAAATTTATTTTATTAATTTTTGTTTTGATCGAAAAGGGAATCGGCCTATTTTAAATTTGGTTGAAAAATGAATCGGTCGAAAAGGGAAGGGTACGGTTTGGTACGGTTTTGGTCGAAAACGGACTTGCCCGTCCTGTACTGTACTGTACAGCAGGAGAAATTGCCTTAATACCTCGTATATCTATGATTCCTACTGATTAACTTTCCAGTTTAAGAGACTTCTATTCCCTATTAAAGTTTCTTTTGCTATTACAATTAAAGAGGCTCAAGGCCAAACATTTCAATTAGTTGGTATTAACTTGAGTTCAGACTGTTTATCAAATGGACAGGTATATGTGGGTCCCACACTGTGAGATCATCAAGAACAGGTAAACCGGAAAATCAGTTCATTATATTACCAGATGATTTGAAAACAAAAAATGTTATTTATTCTGAAGTATTTAATTTAATTTAATACATTTAATAGTATTTAATTTTATAAAAGTAAATAATATTTAAAAAAATATCATATTACATGCACTAATGACACACAAAGTAGGTTATTATTACCTTAAAAAATTACTATGTTTTTTAAAAGTAAGTGCTTAATATTAAAAAAAAAAAAAAATAATAATTAAAACAGAACAATCTAACCCGTACAACAATCTTTACGCGCAACGATCTGCATGAGGGTTAGCAATATATATAAAATAAAAATAAATTGTAGGCGATACAAATTTCACCCAGTCAAATATATCTATAAAAAATATAGCAATAGTAAAGCGTTTCCGGGTCAACTATATTATATAAAATAAATAAAATAAATCCTAAACACTCGGTACTAAGAACTACACAAGATAACTGCATTACAAGTAATTATGTTTGACGCTCAGCAAAGTACCTAACCTTAATCATACTATAGTGATTTATAAAAAATATTATTAAAGAATTAATATTTTATCAAGTGAATAGTATTATATTGAACTATATGGTTTTAATTCAACATTAATAATTATTTTCTCAAGTTGTAGGTACATTTCTCGTTCATATATTTGATCGGCCTCCGGCCTCGTCCTCTATTTCGAACTAACTGTGTATAATGCTAATTATTAAATTATAACACATTTTAAAATGTGTTAAATAATCTATGTCGATATGATAAAGTTATTGCCCAAGTAACAATACTGTGAAAATGTACCTGAAATTATATTTTGTTTTTTTTTTTTTATTCTCCGTCGTAACATTATCGTTATTATTTATTATTATTCATAATTAATAGGTAACAATTTAAAATCCATTAGACCTTTATTTAATATTACCACTAAGCTCAATAACAACCTTATGTAATGCAAAGTTTAAATGCTTAATATTCTTATAATTCAATTTCCTAGTTCGGTTTTGCGTATAATTATATTATAAACATTTTAATTTGTCTGTATAAACGATCACAATATAAATGTAAATACGAAATAGTATCTGTAAATGCTCATGAAAGTATTTACTATAGTGACTCTAACATGTTTCCCAGAATATACATGATAATTCAAAACCATTACACTTACACCAGATTTGTATACAAATATTATATTTCGAAACTTCACTATTAATCACACGCTAATAATTAACTGTACAATAACCATAACGAGTTCATGTGGAAATATTACAATATTTGAATACCTGATGGTTTTTTGATACCGAATAAACAATAAATTAGTTCACATATATTATTTCGAAACTCTCTATCTGTGCACGACACATCTCAAAGTTATAAATAATTATTAATATAAATATGTATTGATATGCATTGATTTAAGTCCGACCGTATCGTTGTCCGTTCGGAAAATGTTTTAATTTCCAACATATTATGTAATCGATCAAATAGTATACAAAATTCCATCATTGGATCTATCGACGAAAAATATTATTTTACCTACCGCGATGGGCTGTGTATTAAGTCGCGATTGTTTACCACAATGATGACTAAGGTATATATATGAATATTATGTATTTTTAACACATAATATATAGAAACAGCCGAAGAACGGAAATGACGTCCATAAAATTGAAAACGGTTCCAAAAACGGCAAGGTGAAAAATACAACTTGAAAAATGATTTCATTTTTCCTTGAAAACCACGATTTCTTTTGGTTAGGAATTCACCCATTCGTCTATCACCATTCACCTAATATTATAATTGATATACGATCAGCTACCGATACGTATTTACCACAGGATAACTTCACGTCGCGTCCGGTTGCATCCGTCTGACTTCACGCCCGAATCCGATGTGAGATCAGTTTCACGGTGAGAGAACTGCACCCATTTACGTATATAATAAATAATTAATAAAATCAATAATGATATATCCGTACAAATTACGTAATGTGACGGTGTGCACACACGATTTAGCGTTTGAAAAAATTCCAAACCATAAAATTCACATTGTTGGTATACCCGGAGGTGTTTTTTCCCCTCCCATATGAATAAACGGAAACCCTCGGACTGAATGATCGAGTGTCGTTTCCTGAACTTGCGATTATAAGTATGTGTGCATGCGAGCGCGCGCGTGCGTGTGTGTGTGTGTGTGTGCGTGTACTTGTGCGGTGGAAGCAGAAGAAAAAAAGGAAAAAACGGAATCTGTCCCACCAAATGGTATGTATAATATACATATGAATCGGCCTTGTAATCGGGCGATGGCGGCGGCGGCGACGGCGATAGCAGTGGAGGAGGTGACCGTCAATCGCAGCACGCGGTGGCAGCGGTTTGCTGTTGTTGGTGAGGGTACAAGGTCTGCGCGTGTACCTCTTTGCACACGCACAAACCGAGGTTTTAAATTGGACTTGAGCATCCCAACAGACACCAGTATCCGACGGACCGTTGCCGCCGTTTGGCGATTTTCTGCGAAATCAATTTTTGTTTACATCACCGTGTTATTAATTTTTTTTTTTGTTGTCGTCTATGACCCAATATAGATTTAATACTTGTCGCACGAACCGATATAAATATATAAACATTTTGTATAGTATATTCGATTTGTCGATCACTTTGAATTTCCATATAGCCGCGATATAACTATACGTATAGTGTCACCGGCCGTTAGTTCGAAGTACGAATCATTTAATATATAATATTTATAAATTTAAAGTTCGCGGGTTTATTCAGCTTCACGCCGATTGACCGGAAACGCAAATTTATATATATATATATATATATATTACCTACGACATAACAGCAGAACGTCTAAACGCGGGCAACAGCATCACACGTCGACGAGACTACGAAGTATACATTTTAAAGGGTACGTGTTTGCACAATTTACATTTTACAGCACAGTCGTGTATGCTAAGTGTGTGTGTGAAGATGTGACCGAGAGTAATAACAGTAGTAGGTATGTAGAATTTTCACAAGCTAGAGAGTCTCAATCGAAAAAATCGCAGTCGGATTGGAAAAAAATTCCAAGTGAATCAACAGTATTTCCATCTCAGCTGTTCGTCTTTATATCTATGTACGCGAAAAATGACAAAAAAAAAAAAGAAATAATAACTAATATGAATAAAACAATAATAATGGTCCTTGACTCGAAATACTATTAAAGAAAATAATATTAAATTATCTATTTATATGTATGTATATACGCGCGTGTGCACGTGCGCAAGTATGTATATGTTTGTGTGTATGAGTATGTACGATCAGTATTAATACATGTATATATTATACTCGTATTTGTCCCCAATCGGATACAAGGAGGACGACACTTTTCGTCGTCAAACGATCAATATGTTGGAGCACAAACATGAGCAACTAATAAAAATAAACTTTAAATGATAAACGCAAGTCAATCGGAACTCGTTTGTATATGAATATACATGTGAATTTGTTTCTTTTTTTGTCTTGTTTCCTGTTAGATCAAACAATTTAATTATATCATATTCATACTACGAGTATAAAACTCATTGAACTATGTATACCGTTTCGTTTTAGTGGTAAATTCGAACTTCATGAGTTTGCAACACACATACATTTTTTACTATACTTTTTTCTATAAGAAGAGTATAATACAAAAGTAAGTTATTTTTTTTTCTTTAAATTGATATTGTTAGGTAATTTACAACGTTTAGGTTTTTTATATACGTACAGTGATGCGTTGGTTTTGAAAAAAGTTAACTTTTCTAATATTCCAACATTTTTGAAGACACAATTACTTAATTTTAATCTTACTGATCTATATAATATAATATTCTGTACTAATTTCACTTATTTATTAAGTTAACTCATTTTTGAACGTATTAAAACATACATCGTTCGATTTTAGGTAAAAAATAGCACTAACGAACACGAAATAATTTCAGTAGTTTAAAACCGGCTATCATTTACAAACTAATAATTATAAGTTAACCACTGTTATTTTCAAAAAGATCAATTTTAACTTGTATTATAATCCCATTGACTAAATATTTAGGACTAACGAATTAAAATTTTTACTTGTTCCGAAAAATGTAATATTATATATTAAAGAAGAATTTACTTAAATAAATTCTTCTATAATTGATTGTTGTAACTTCAAAACACATAATAAGACCAGTCAAGTTTTTATTCGTTTTTTTAATACGTGATATCAATAATACTCGTCACGCAATATTGAAATGTCAATACAATTATTATTGGCTCAATTTCAATATCTACTGTAACTGTTCTTCGAACGCGGAACTCACAAGCGCGTCCCAACTCAAGGGTAACGAAGAAAACAGAACCGAACGATTCGAGCATGTAGATCTTGACGATTGATGTGTAGTATTTTAATTAAAACTATCCGAACACATTACTTCCTTTAATTTTGACTATAGCTCCCACTCCACCCCCCGGAGTTATTTACACTGGTATTCGAGAAAAACAATAGGCGTCAGTTAGTTGATTTACTCGCGAAAAAAAAGTAAAAGTGAAAACTGAATAACCTCAAAACGACGTGTACACACGAGTCGAAGACACACACGACTGATTTCGATGAACTTGGGCTTTGAATTTATAATAGCAGTCGCCAGTGAACAAACAGTTCTTTATTGCAATCTAACTGTGTCATCTCGAAAATGTTTTCCATTTTATATTATATTCTTTGTATTTCTTATTAAAAAAAAAAAATAATAATAAAAGAATAAAACGTTAATTATCGTTAATAGTGGAACCATAAGCATGATCGAATATGTATCGAGTGACCGCATATACGATTTGACCATCAACGCTATGTCCGAGGAGGTCATTCAACGTAAACATCTATCACACGCACCCCTCAGATATGAAACGTGTTGGATCAGCACCGATAAGAGCAAAAACACTATTGTTAATTATAACATAAAACAATCATTTACACCGTCTGTTGAAGATAGATTACAAAAAAAGACACACAAACCGTCGATTTGCGATAATTTAATTGTTTGGCAAGCTAATAATAATACCATTATAATATCCAAAATATAATATTATAGTGTTATACCACAATATAGTGATCGAGCGAACGTTCATCGGATAATCAGGCCATGCCGCGACGGACCGAAAATCATCGTAGAAAACTCCAACCAATTTTTCTCGTCAATTTTCCGATCCGTCGACAGATGTCTTTTGTTATTACACATTATCCTGCAGATCACACAATGACCACGAGTCTATATAGAAATCGTAGCACGTTTCCCACTGCCAACCCATTGTGTTTGAATTTATCCACAAAGCTGTGTAAACAAGACTTTTAAATTTGCAAATAAGATACAACATGTACTGCAGATAAAACATATTGCACTATTGCACATACAATAATAGTATAATAATATAATGACCATGAAATTCGCGTGCGTTCGCGCAATACACCCTTGACTTATAAGAACTTGTTTGTTGCGCACCGCGTTGTTATAAATTTTAAACCTTGTTTATATGTACATAAACGAGACAGCTCAACATAAAAATATGTTAGAACATTTCACCCCGTGGTCCTCCAAACAAGCGTACGCTAGCGATTGGTCAACATTATAATATAATGAATACATATTATATTATAATATGTATGCATTATTATTTATGTACGCGAATATGCATATCCCACCCTACAAAAATAATCAAAAATACCACCATAACTACGCGTTCTCGTTCCTATTTACTATTTTATTATTATTCTCATTTTTTAATCTTATTGTTTCAGAATTATCAGTATAGAATAAAATATACCTACAACTATGCATTCGTACATCAAAAAGTTGGGTTTCTTGTACAAAACGTATGTGCTCACGGTTCTCACGCTGGGTTACCTCACGTCCGAGATGGGACATTTCTTGATCGGAGTGACCAGCAAGGCAACGGCCAGGGACGTGCATTACGGTGATATCAAATGTCAGCTTTTGGGACATTTGGCCGAGTCGACAGTGTTTAATTACACGTTACACGAACGTTGCGACACATCAATCGACCAGAAATCGTGAGTGGGCAGTATACAGTTTACAATCAATTGATATTTCTGGAAAGAAATAAAAATAAATACATAATTTCACATCGATAATATGTATTTAATTGAAGTCTATTACCATTGGCGGTGATCAAGGGGGGGCAAAGGAGGGAAGGGTTCACGGTTATATCATTCAAGTTCATAACAAGAATAGTTTATGTATCGTGAGAGTTCGTTTCCGACAGAATTCGTGTTAATTCGCATTATCGATATAACTACTATTATTATCATCACCATCTCCAGACGATATAATCTTTATATATATGTTACAATACGCTGACCTTAGCGAAAAGTGACTTATACATTACTGCACGTTATTACAAGTGTATATAAAAAATAATGTAAATAACTCCTAAAGAAGGTAATTCGACAGGAAATACAATATATCTAGTGCGCGACAGATACGAACACATTCAACCATTTCTTTTTGCCACCCTTATGGTTACGAACACTCGTTGTGCCGTCGCCGCCGCCTCGGGTTTCAATAACACTACGTGTTTGTTCATGCGGCTAACGATGTAAATTTTCGCCAAATCGATTACATTTGCGAATAGTGATCGAGAGTGCACGCAATTAGTCCAGGTCAAGTTTATTCGATTATAATGACAAGGCGAACAATATAATATTTTAGTATACACACACAATAATTCCTAGCTATTATATTTTGCGCCGAATATTATCGTATAGTAACCTTGTCTGTCGATGTTATGGTGTTGATGACGACAATGGTGATGATGATGATATTCAAACAGTTGCTGTTTTAATTTCTTTATCTCTCTTTTTCTCTCTCTATCTGATCTATGTCTGATGATATTTGTTGTCCATGCACCTCTTAATTTATATTGCAAAAGATACGTGATAAAGTATACTTTATAAATACAGCCAGAATATGGGGTTGTATATACGTGGCCTCTTACATCGCTCATAAACATTTCAAAATTAATAACATTTTAAGTTGATATTATAGTGTCTAGAATAATAAAGTTAAGTACGTCATCAAGTGATAAAAAACTTGATATCATATTATTAACACATCTGCTGTACACGAATCATTATTTGATATAAAATATTACTATAGTGTTTCTTATCGTTATTATTATTACAATTAATGCAGGTGCGAGTTGTTAGTTCAGGAAGATGGCACACCGTTCTGTGAATGGAACTACAATGGACTCGGTTTCCAATACCAGCTTTTGGCTGGACCAGCGTTTATTGCCGTCTATTCGATCGTTGGAATCTTTTTCGGCATGGCCGCCGATAAGTTCAATAGGTAAGCGCGGATCACCTTGTTCGCGACGCGTTAATAATGTACATGAGTAGATGGTGGTAGAGGAAGCAAAAATATTAAAATAAAATAAATTTTTGTGACATGTCTTGTAATAAACCGTGCCGATACTATTACCACGCAGCACAGTAATTAAAAATTATATAGTTGACCAAAATTTGAAATTTTGAATTCTACTCATTTTATTCGATTTACTCAAAAAATAAAAATAAATACTCAATAATGATGAATAAAAATGTTTTTTTATAATAGCCAAAGGTTAGGTTATACTCATAAAATAATAATTGAACCTTATAAAATATAATTTTTCCATAAGAATTATAATATTTTGTCAATAATCGTCCTATAGTTTAATTTTTACCACAAATAAAATAAAATTAAAGTGTTTATCAATTTATTTATGTTGGATAAAATACAAAGAAAATATTTAACAATGCAATTATGAAGTTATTACTATTATTAATTCCGTATGTAGTGATTGAAATGTAAAGTTACAAATTAAATGATAATAACCCTTTTCGCTTTTATAAACTTACAAATTGAATTAACTTTTTCTTCGAATTACACGATGGTATCAACACTACCCCTTAGACCATAATCGACTGATTACAATTCATCATTAGTTGCTCATATTTTACGTCGGTATACGAATATAAATTATTATTTTAATAATTATTTGTAAACAATAGATCATTTCATAAGAGTTTTGAGAAAATGAGAATTTTGGTCAACTATTTTCATTTTTGAACTACAGTGCATAGACTATTTTGCATACCAGTATACGACGATTTGTAATGCGAACTTCGGGTGTGAGAAAATGCTTTTCAAAATAAAATACAAAATTTAAACTTTGGATCGTATGCCGTAACATATAATCATTTTTTGTGTAAAATCTATTTTCAGAGTCCGACTACTGTCCCTGTGCACGTTGATCAGCGCCACAGCTATCGGTCTAATTGGTATGGCTACTAGTTACTGGCATCTGATACTACTCAGAATCATGCTTGCAGTCGGGTGTGTAACAATGTTTTTATAACAATATTATAAATATAAAAAAATAACGGAGACAACAAAAATCGTGACCTCGGTAATTAATAACTATATGTACCATTGTTTGTTATAGCGAGGCTGGTACCAATCCCTTGTCTACGGGAATACTATCAGACTTGTTTTCAGAAGTAAGCATGTCCAAATTTACGACTTTTTATTCTTGTAAAATATGTCGAAAATAATTATAATAATGAGTTATAATAAGTCAATTTTACTTTAAACCGACTGAGAACACAACCGATTATAAACCAATACTTTTACTGTTCTTGTTTAATTTAGTAATTATTTCGTCTGTATTCAGTTAAGTTGGTTTAATTCAAAACCATTACAAATTCAAAAAGGTGATTTCTGATTAATTTTTTTAATAAAAATAATTTGATAAGTTTTGATAAAAATATATTATTTAATTTACTTGAAAAATAAATGGCTTATATGTTTTCCTAGAGTAAGTATCTATTGGCTATATCTAAATGATTTCTTCCTTGTGTATTTAATATTATCCTTGTGTAATTAAGATTCAAAGAACTTATTACATTTAATTTTATTATACTGGTACATACGGATTGATTTAATTAAATTAAATTAAATTATTAATTTATTTAAAAGAAAAGTTTTCTTATTATGTAATATAAATAGTTCTATATATGTCATAGTAATTTACCAGCTTATATTTAATACAGAATTAAATATTACAACTTTTATTATACTCGTATATTAACCAGATAATTATGATTTATAGGAAAAGAGAGGATTAGTAATGGCGATCTTTAACTGGGGAATTTACGCTGGTATTGGTTTGGCTTTTCCAGTCGGCCGATACGTTACTGAAATGAACGTTGGTGGTTTGGTGAGTAATATTTTAATAACTCTTTTGAACCAATAATTTTGTAATGAAGTGTACTTTCACAAAATATAATTATGCAGCTTAAAACAGTAAACTCATGATTTACATCTTTAGCTCGATCTATTATAGTCAATTGCAATGTATAAATGTTTCATTAATAAAATGTCAATTGAATTGTTTACCCAATCGTTCTGGAAACTTCAATTTCTATTCTATCTTTTAGTTGATATTTTGAATCAATGATGAATTGAAAAGTTTTAATATCCATCTAACCAACTCATAACAGGGTTGGATCCAGAAATGTTTTACAGAAAGGGCGCAGTAACACATACATTAGTTATTACACAATAAATATACAATTAAATTATTTTATTTTTTGTAATTTTATAACACTTTAGTGAGAAAATATTATGAACTTCGATAAATCGAAAACCCAATGTATTATATTATACATAACACAAACTTATTTTTAGGGATTTGAGGGGGTTGTGCCCCATTAGCCCTTCTCCCACCTTGGATCCACGCCTGAATCATAAAACACAAATATATTACTGTTAAAAATTTTAATTGTAGGGATGGAGAGTGCCATACTTTGTTAGTGGAATGATTGGACTGATCGTAGCAGCTTTAGCTATCACTACGATGAATGAACCAAAGAGAACAGCGATTAGCGAAGAAGCCGAAGCCGACAACAATGATGTATCAAAACCGCATATAATGCAAAACACTACATTACCTGTCGAGAGCGCCGAAAAGACCAACATTTGGAAAGTACTTTTACAACCTAAAATTTTGATCTTGTGTATCGCTGCTGCAATCAGACACACCGGTATGTGCAGAAAACGTGACAGAGAAACGTGTTAACATAATATTATAAAACAACGAAACAAATGTTTAATTTCGTACTGTTGTCCCTATAGGTGGATTCTGTTTCGCCTATAACGCCGATCTCTTTTATCGTGACATCTTCCCAGGTTATGATCTTGGTTGGTCGTTGTTCGTGGTCACATTCTTGGTCGGCAGCATCGGTGTCGTAATTGGTGGAATCACTTCTGATAGCATTGTGAAGAAATATGGAATTAAGTCTAGAGTAGCCGTCTTAGCCATTAGTCAGGTATGCATATATGAATAAACCCCGAAAAAAGAAAATAATGTTATAAGTAATCTCTTATAACATTTAAAAATGATGCCAGTAAGTAAAACAAATATAAAAACCATTTTAACAATTAAAATAGATTTATAAATTAATTATATAATTTGTAATAGTCATCGGAGTGCTTCTTGCGGAAAACTTCAATAATATTATTCTATATCAACATGAAATAGGTATAACCAGTTGTGTTTAAGCCAGTGATGCGTTAGGGGAAGCTTTGAGACAGCGTCTCCTCAATAATTATAGCATGACAAAACAAAATTTTTCAAATATTTTCATATTTTTGTGTGATCTATGTACAATATTTTTTTTTGTCGGCAATATTTACCATACATATATATGCATGTGTGAATAAATATTTTTTCCATCGTGGTGCGCGTATGGTATTTATAAATGTATACGTATAAGCCCTGGGAAAATAGCACTACACTATTTTTGAAATCATTGATAACGATTAACGAGGGACGACGCGGTCGTAAAACGATTGGAAGGGTCGATCGACAGTCTCATTTCTAATATTATATATGGCATATAAAAGTTCAGAGGGAGGAATCACAGCGATAATGATTTATGTATGGAGTCCGTGAGACTAGTCTTAGTATTTTCTGCAACCGGGAGGTGCGTTATTCTACTCGTAAACTTGCCATTTTTTTGTTAAAAATTAAAAATATAAAATCAAAACATTATACATTAGATGAGTTATTGGACGGATAATATAACCGTAGATTTCAGTTTGTTATTTTATCAGTTTTAATTGTATCTATAAAATTTTAATTGATTGAAGTTCGAATTTAATTTATAATATATATATAAGTTATATAAGAATATAAGAAACGATGCAATATATTTTCAATAATTTAAACTATTTACTTACAATAAAGTTGAATAATTATCTAACAAAAATATAACTAACAATAATCGGAATTATTAAGCTAAGTTAATTAGTTATTACGACATATATACATATATTAAATAAAATACTAATATTTCAAGTAAAAATGTATATAAATAGCCAATAGTTGAACAAAAGTTAAAAGTCTTCCTGTACATTTTATTCATGCACCATCACTGGTTTACCTATACGTCACACTAATGGCTATAAATAAATAATACTATTTAAGTTCTTATAATTACTGAAAAATTCAAATCGTGCAAATTTATTCCTGTTACGTTTATGTTATGTAATAATCGACCAAAAGTACCCATTAAACTTGAAATTATTTTTATTTTTCAACTATTTACAATGTTTTATGAGTCACCCAACAGCAATGTTTGTATTTTTAATAAGAATGATGACAGATTACTTTGAAGAATAACAATAGGCTTATCAATTCTATAGCCTTAAACTTCTAAAATAAATTACCAAAACATTCCTTAGGTTTCGTAAAAAATTAAATAAAAAACAATAGTGTAACATTTGTCAAATATGTTTACATGTAAAAAAATAATCAAATATATTAATTACATAATACAATGAATACATAACAACTATTACTTATTATTCAAATAACCTATCGATAAAATAAACATTAAATAAATGCTATTAAAACTCAACATTGGTGTAATACAATAATCATTAACATATACATATTAATAGTATACCACATTAGTATAGTAAGCTGAAAATAATCACAAAATAGATTAATAGAAGAAACTCGATTATAACCTTAAAGAAAGGTTATATACATACACCTATATATTACTAGCTATATATATATTATAAGTGGTAAAGTCATGTTTACAACCGTCCAATTAGAAAGTTTAACCTAATAATTTAAAGAGCAGTAGTATATAATCATCGCATTAATTATAAGGCAAATCGTGAACTCAATGATGTACAACTGTTCAGTATAGATGAAATAGAAAATAAAATCACGAATGTATTTCATTTCAGGAACATTGAGATTTTTAAAAAAAAAAAAAAAAATCGATGGAAAGTCAAAGTATAAACAATATTCCATTTATACTGCGGGTTCTTAATGAACAGCAGATAAAAAAAAATAGTATCGATTTTTAAATAATAATAATAATAATACTGATAATACTGATAATACATTATAATAATAGTGTTTGATGGATAAAAATATAAACAGTGTTCTTGACGTCATCCATTAACCGTTAATCACGTTTACATTAAATTTGTATAATTTAATATATAACGCTATTATTATTAATTAATTTACCATCGATTTTAGTTGATCGCCACGCCATTCGCCTACGGAAGCATTTACCTGGGACCAACAGGCGCCATGGTGACACTAGCCATATCGTACCTGTTCGGTAAGTTGATGAACACCAAGAATTTTTTTTAAATTTTTTTTTACAGCTCACATAAATAAAACATATTAATATTGTTTTTATGTTTGTTTAATTTTTTTTTCGCAGCCGAAATGTGGTTCGGAATCTTGTTCGCCATACTTGTAGAGTCCGTGCCTATGTCAGTCCGGTCGACAACCGTCGGTGCGTTCCTGTTTTGGATGAACAACTTTGGTGGCAACGTTCCGATGTTCGTGGAACCCGTTCGTAAAGCGTACGATTACAAGACGGCATTGGCCATTTTCTACGCTGGTTTTTACTTGCTAAGTGAGTACCGCGCAACTGGCAAGCAAACTTGCACACGCACGCTTCGGCCATATCCTTCCGTCATCGTTACAATGCACTTTAAGGAGTATTACTGAATTTAATTTTTTCCTTGGACAGTTCTATTAATAATCGGTTCCCAAAAAAACTACGAAAACTGTTCGAGCCAGTTCACGGTTGATCGTCAAATACAATAACAATTCGTTCTGATGGACAACTTTTGCGCCCAGAATTACAGACTAACAAAAATTTCCTACTTATTTTATACAGATTTAGGACTTTCTATATAACATCTAGATAACTCTTGTTAAGCGTATAATATCATCGTTACGTAGTTCTTCACCAATAATATCTAAATCAGTCTGATGAGATATTTTATATGGTTTAATTTCGTTATTGTGCTTGTGTATATACACAGAATAACAGAATAAAATAATTTTTAATCACGAAACCATCCCAAGTTCAATTCGTATCTTCAGTGGAATCGCAATTCTTATTTTAACTGTTGACTAAATGAGAACTAATTTAACTTTTGTTTTTCGTTATACCTGTCTTTTTGTCACCAATGATTTGTTTGAAGATATCTGTTTATGTGTAACTTTTTTTTTCTCCAACACGGGTCGTTGATTAAATCACATCATGTGATCGTTGTTTAAGCCTAAGCAAGGCCAAACCCATATCAAAGTGCTAGAATGCAGTGAATAAAAATTCTATTTATAAGCTTATTCGAACGGTTTAAGCATATAATTGGTCTAAATTTCTCATGTGAATACTGTGAATACTATCTTATACTATATTGTATAAGTGTCCGATTCGTAATCAAAAACTATTTATACGACAATATTATCTTCTATCAACGATATATTTTTGACACATTAAATATAATTAATTTGTTAAAAAGAAACCTGATTATTAATCAGTGGTTGATGATAAATTGTGTTTTTATTACTCCATAGGTTCGTTAATGTTTGGTATGACCGTTTTATTCATGGGAAAGAAAAAATTGAAGAACGCTAACATTCATACATTGGCTGGTATCGAAAATGGAGGATTCAAGAACACTGAATTGGAAAATAGTCTAAAAGGTTTTCCAAGTCTAGAAAACCATTTGTAAAAAAGGTAAATTCATATTTTTTTTAAAAGTTTTATAAATTTAGATGTAATATACCATGCCTTAAATTATAAGATGAAAAACTCAAAGGCCCAAAAATGTTCTCGAATAATGTAAATACGCTACAAAAAAGGTAAATAAATATAAAAATAAGTATAAAAAGGTTCTAACTTTAATATTTATTTAATTTATTATTTTTTTTAAAACAAACGTATTATTCTACGAATCACATGAAAAAGTTTAACCGATTCTTGATCCTTGTTAGAATACTTTTAATAAGTTCCTGTGAAAAAAATCTAAGAATTTAATTATTATTAAAAAAACTTTTTTATTGAGATATTTGTTTTATTTTATTTTAATTTAGGTTAAAAATACGATTGTATGTTAAAATAACCCAAACTTATATAACACATTGTTGGTTAATTTGTATCAAAAACATTGCTATAAAATATCGATTGCTTTTAATTCATTTGAAAATTGAAACGGTCATTTCGAAAAAGCCATATCTCCATAAAATGAAAATTATCGGGAAACGTACAAACTATTTTAAGAGATCAAAATTAAATTTAAATAAAAATTGAAAAAGGTTTGAATTGTTAAATTTCCTTATAAAAACCAACTATGCTATGGTGGTCTCGAAGGAAATATGCATTATTATTAGTTAAAAACATCTATCACATAAAACTAATTTTGAAAATGTGTGAAGAAATGACCTTTTCGAAATGACCGATCCATTTACTGTCAAAATTATATAATATAGTTATAACTACAGATCGGATATAATTGCACTTAAAAGATGCCAAAATTGCAATGAAAAATACATTACATTTTTTTTTTATATATTTATAATAATTTTACGATCTATACTATTTAGCATAATAAGTATAAGTGATAAAAGATAGAAAACATGATATACGTGATTAAGAAGTAACCCACTAGCGACTCTTTACTTGAGGGAGCATTAAAATTACATAGTAAAATCATATCAAATATATAATCATTAATTACTTATAATATTATGGAAATTAATATAATACTTACAAAATATATCATTTTTCTGAATGAAACTTTATAATTATATAGATCTCTAAATTGTGTTCTTGAAAATTACATCATCTGCTTCTTAAAATATGTTGATATGTTTTGATATGTAATAAAAAAATGGGAAAAAAAGGACAAAAACATCAAATACATGAACCTCAACTTACAAGATATAGACTCGAACTGAAACAAAGTTAATAAAATTCTTATGGAGACTTAAGAACAAGAAATTGGTTTTATAAAGAAAAAAAGAATGAATTGTTCAATGAAGTATGTCGAAAAGCGGTTAAAAAGCGGAAATTATCGAGAAATAGGTTTCTGATGTTGCAAGATCATAACAAAAAGGAGAAATACAAAAAGAACATAGAGAATGCAGATATATAACTCAAAGGAAAAAAAGGAAATTTCTGATTGGAATATAAAAGGAAACAAAAAGAAATCTTTCCCATGGCAACGCAAGAAATTTCTTTAGGATCATCAAGAAACATCAACACTTCAATCCAAGCTTAAAAGCGATTAAAAATACAGAGGGTTATATTATTATAGAACTTGAAAAAAGACTGGAAGATGGAGGAAATATTTTATAGAGTTACTCAATAACGATTTACTAGCAAACCCTGTGGAGAAGGCAGTATATCAAAAAGCTGAACCTTTGATAAACGATATATAAACAGCCTTAAAAACTGGAAGCCTAACCCTAATCTAACCCTGTACGAGAGTTAATTGATTTCTCGGATATACATTTCAATGATACATGACAAACGGCCGTTCATCCTTTATTTTAGTTGTTTATTCTTCTTTTTTTAGAAGTTCCTACATTATTGTTATTATCTATATTATTATCATATATATATTTTTTAAAGTTCCTACATTATTAAAACAGTGGTGACTTTGAAATTAAAATTTATTATTTCCTCCTATAAATAATATGTGATACTCATAACCAGCACAAAAGTCGCATTCTAAGACTAGACAAAGTACGATGTGCACACCCTCTTTATCATCCAATCGTTATGTAAGTGTAAGTTAGTACATATATTTACAATGAATAGGGTTTGAGTAAAAATAAAATTATTTTTCTCTCTCTTTTTCACTCACTCTCTTCTCTATCTCACTCTAACTCTCAGGAAAACAACGCACAATGATTAATTTGATTTCAAGGAATAAAAATACTCATGATGTGATTAAACCAGACTTCTACTACCCTTCTTCTCTTGTTTAGGCGCAATAATAATAATATCATATCATATTTTTATCGTAAAAAATGTAGTACATACGACGTTGATCAACCGGCCTATCGTAAGCCTATGCTCTCTAAGAAGTAAAAAAAAAAATATTATCTAACCAAGTACGTTATTCGAAATTTGTGGCTCATGACTTCAATTTCTACCACAAAAATAATAGAACGGGTTGGGTTACGCAATCATTAATTCTGTTACGATAATTACAGTTTTCATATGTAAATTTTTTTATCAAAAATATCGCTTTCTACGTATAATGCCCACCGATCTCCAAAGATGAACGTAAATATACGGGGTCGATATATACCTAACTAAAAAATACAAATTAATACAATTAAAATAAAATAAACTGTAATAAAAGATAAAATATTTATATTATAAGATAATGTTGTTTAGAAATATTTAATATAATAATAATAATAATCTTTGTTAACAGAAATTATATGTGTATGAAAGCATTTGAAGAGTAATTATTAAGTTTTTGTAAACTTAATCCATATTATGTATGTATTTCAGGAGAATGTGATCAGTAGTTGTATAGCTGCAAAAGTTACGCCGACATTTCGAACCGGGGAGACCTGCATGCAGTGTTCGGTGTCCTCTCTCATCACAAACCCTTGCAGCTAAGCGCCGCGGACGATGAAAACGGAAAGCAATATTATTATTTTTCTAATACGTAATCGCGGCATTTAAGAAATAAAAGAAACCTGGACAAGGAGATGTGATAATTAACGTTTAAGAATTTATTATTATTTTGTAAATAACGTTTTTGTACATTTGGTCGACTGCCGCCGCTGATCGTTTGTTCTATACATATTAAACCCACTATTTGTTGTTCGGTGGTAAACTCTGTAGACAGCGAGCCATTAGGCGCGACTGTCCTACACGGTTACCTCTATATTTATTTAAATTATACCAATATTATTTTATTTATATTATGATTAATAAATAATATACAATATTGATATATTTATACACATAGACGAGTAAATACGTTTGTTGATAATATTATTGTATTGTAATAATGTATTTATTACTTTTTTTTTGTAGCGTGTAATGTATCGATATTATTTTATAATATATAAACGTACACACGCATATACTGGTTTAAGTTTTATTTATTATATTTTTATGTGAATACGCTACACGCGGTATATACGACGTCACGAAGTGATTTATTATATTACTCAAGTTATTAAGCTCATAAATGTATATTCTTACATTTTATTATATGTACCTATATAATACGTTACTCCAATCAATACGTGTAATACCGGTTAAACTAATTCGGTTTGTATAAAACACATTTTTTTTTTTTTTTTATCAGAAAAGAATTTTCTTCTTTCTTACATATACTCATAAATATATTTTTATTTTTTACAAGTACGACAATAATATATGTTTCTGTGTTGTTAAACAAATGTATACGTATGTGTGTACATAAGTATATATATATTATTAACACGTACAATAAATGTTTATATACATTTGTTTGAATGTAAATATTACATATATTTATATTATATGTCTGCATAAAAAGATAAAAAAAATCATTCATTAGATATACACGCAGGATTTTTTTATTTGAACTTCATCATTAATCTAAAAATATACTATTGTCTATTAGACCAGTGACCACTACAATTATATATAATAATAACACGAATATAAAAAGACCATTTTCGACGACATTTTCAGACACAACGATAACCATAGAAAATTTAAAACTGAATATAAGAAATGGTCTGTATTGTGTTTAACGTTTGTTTTGGCTTTTAGCGTATTCGTTGTATACATGTCGACGAGTTTAAATATTTCCAATATTATTACTCAACGTTGTACAATTCCGTTTCATAAAAAATAGTTGGAAGGATAATAGTATAGAAATGTAAATAGGAGAAAGGCTTAATGGACTTTATTCTGGTTTAGGAAAATTGGCCCTCTTAATTATTTTCATGGATCACAAAAAAAAAAAAAAAAATCCATCATTCAACAAATATCTGATTACGATTATTCAATTTTTATTTTTAATCTTACCATTATAGCCGACTATGCTGACGATAAAGTCATTATATCTATTAATAATGATCATATAACTGCCTCATCAAATCTACAAATCCACCTAAATTAGTTATCTGAATGGTACGACAAATGGAGAGTTAAAATAAACCAAAATAAATCTGTACATACAACATTCACATTAAAACAAGGTATATGCCCAAACATTACCCTTAAAAATGTACAAATTCCTACATCCGATACAGTCAAATACTTGGGATTAATCCTGGATAAAAGACTGACATGGAATAAACACTTTCGAACAAAAAGAATAACATTAAATAACCGTATGTGTATGTTCAGACCTCTTTTAATCAGAAATAAATTCTCTACTCTGAACACCAAATTATTAATATATAAATCTTTACTCAAGCCAATCTGGATGTATGGCCTTTAACTATGGGGTGCGGCCAAAAAATCCAATACCGATAGAATTCAAACGTTCCAAAATATATCTCTCCGACGACTATCTAACGCTCCACCCTACATCTCCAATTTAACACTTCATAATGATCTTCATATGAGAACAATAGTAGAAGAGACTCGCATCTTTTACACGCGCTTCCACAAACGACTCCAAACTCATCCTGTTCAATATATATATACGGAAAATCCCGATAATAACCATTCCTCGACGTCGTCCGGCTATATCGGGATTGAACGTGCCGTGCGTGTGCGCGTGCCTGACCGGATATACGCCTTTTACCTGCGTTCGTCAGTTAACCTTCACTCGTCGTTCGATTACGTGAAATCGCGTCGGCCGTAAATTTTCGTTTTTGTATTTTATGGCGGTGTACGCGTGTGTGGCTGTTTAGCCGCGTATATTGCGTATACCATTCTGTACGCGTGTGAGGCTGTTAAGCCGCGTATGACATTTAGACCATTCCGGACGAACCAATTACTGTTTAGCGACGCAATCCGAGGTGGTTCCAGTGGACGTACGGTACCGGGTCAGGTTTTCATTATATAAAGGCGTTATTCTGTATTTAGTTTTAAGTATATAAGATTAGGAATATATTAATTTATCTCTTGGGCGCCCATTTATTATTTATTGTAGATTTTTTATTTTGTGCGTATAATGTATACTGTGGCACAAATAAAAGGTTTGCATAACCAAAATTATTTGTTTAAAATCAATATGAATTTTGGTCACCCGCTCCTGTCATAACGCTATATTATTGTTTATTATTGTAAAGGGTTTCCTTTGGGTATTTAAGTGGATATTTCGCCAACGGGGCCAACCTCATAGAAGGAGCTCTTTGGTACATATTCTAACCCTCTTATAAAAGATATCTCTATTCGTACACTCCCAGGAAATCCTAACCGTAAATTAAAAATAAAGTGGTGGCGCTATTTATTACAAAACTTCAAAACTTTAATATTTAATGTCAATCAATCAAAAAAAAAAAAAAAATTAAATTAAAAATAAAAATAAAATAAATAATTATAATAATAAAAACTGAAAAAAAAATTCACATAATCAAGAGTCACTAATGGGTGGCTGCTTAATCATTGTACAAAATACACTTATCCGAGACAAACCGGTCCGGTTTATGCGATAATGCGATATTGCGTTTTCTCGGCTCTTCTAGAATCTTCCAATCGATACCACCACCCCCCGCACTAGCGACCTTTTATCGCTACTCCGAGCACCGGTCGTCGGAACATTGCGGTGCAAGTCAGTCGTCGGCGTCTCTTTTTCCTGGCTGTGTGGTCGTCGGCGCTCTGGGTCCGGTGTACCATCATTGTTGCCATTTTGGCGTGCGACGTTCCGTTGTTGTCGCTATTGTGGCCATTGGCGTACGACGTTTTGTTGTTGCGGCTGTTGTTGCCACTGTCGTTGCTGTTGAAGTGCGACGGTTTTCGACGTCCAGTTCACGTGGCTGTTGGTGCCGCTGTTGCTGCCGTGGACCATTGGAGTTGTGTGGGCTGTGGTTGATGGTGGTGTGAGTCGGCGTCGGTGAGAATACAACGTGCTGTCCGTGCACTGGAGCAATGTCAGGTTCATTTATTGGTTTATATCATTATTTTAATTCTGGTCGTATTGTCCTTGATGTATATTATCTTTAGTTAGCGGGCGCCCCAATCAAATATGTAACCAATCAATATGTACTTTGTATACCTTGAATTTATAGTTGTATTTGTTTATTTCAATAACACGGCGGTGCTGCTGGCTTGCCGTCATTATATGTATACGGTGTGTTATTTTATTTATTCACCATATGCGGCATATATTGTAAATTGGTCACCTTGTCCTGTCCCGTTTAATTACTATAGTTCATAAGAATAAGAAGCCAAACAACGAAAGCAGACAAGGGTTAATTCCCACGTAAAAGGAGGCTGTCTGCGTTGGTAAGTTTTTTTTTATCCTCTTTTTACACTTACCACCACGTACTTTTGAATGAACTGCATTTCTTCATTTTGTTTTTCACCAATCTCCTTCGTTTGATTGAGTTCTTTTCGTTGAATTTCAGCAATACGAAGGGTTTCTATTGCAGCTTCAAGAGTAACATCAGCTTGCTTAATTAACTTGTCGCGAGTCTCGCTATCTCTCGTGTCAAGAACAATTTTGTCACGTAAAATTTCTTCGTGGGATTTAAATTCACAATCTTTTATCAAACCACGACACGCTGACAGAAACTCCTCAATAGACTCATTTTCTTTTTGAGACCGTTTATAAAATATATACCTGGAGTGTAGAATATTTTTTTTTTGGTTTGCGATAATTTTGAAACGCGGTTAGCACTTGATCAATTTTCTTATTGTCTTCGACGTTTTCAAACTTGAGAGTGTTATACCTCTCTAGGCCCTCTTTACCAACAAGGTTAAGAAAAATAGCCACCTGACGTTTGTTAGACGCTGTCGTTAGACCAGCCGCCTCAATGTAAATCTCGAACGCTTCACGAAAAACGCGCCAATTTTCTGACAAATTACCCGTTAAAACCAACGCATCTGGTTTATTGTACTCCATGGTTCAACAACAATTCAAAATTCAATTATACAATACACAATTTTCAGATCCTTCTAGATTGCATCGTGCGAGGAGTGTGTCAGGTCAAAATAAAGTGCTTCGCATGAGTGCTAAAAGCTGACTGGTTTTATTTTATCATGAACATATAGCCGCTATTGTAGATAACAAATAATCAGTTATAGGCTATAGCTATATGTAACAAATATAATGCTCGGGTAACGAGTATTAGGAGGAACGACAGTATTTATGCTTGAAATATTACTTTGATATTTAAAGTAATCCGGCTCGAAGGACCAAAATGAAACGTTCGGAAAAACGCACAAAAAAAAGAGACACCTAATGATGAAAACAAATGTGTTTTTATTATAATAAAAATTGTGCTCGGAGAGCTTAATGACACTGAGAATATTTTTGTGCTCGGAGAGCTTATAACGAATAACGGATAGGTTGCGTCGACGAAAATAAAGACCTCGAACGAACGATACTTCAGTCGGTGCAATGCCGGAATTACTCTGACTATTGCCCCATAAACCGATGGTTATGCTGATCAATGCAACGCCAGAATAACTCCGAATATTACACCACTGACCAACATAAATATATTGTTAGTCGAGGTCAGGGGGATACTGTCTTCCAATGTTGCGTAAGTCTGCCTGGGAAGGTCTTACTACAACACCGGAGAGGCAGTAAATGGTGACTTTCCATCACGCCACCGTGCATTTTATAGGTAGGTGCACCGATAACGGCGTCCGTTGGCGTGATGGATTTAGCCTGGTGACGGCAATCCGAAATCTGGTGACAATTATAATTTCAACAAAAAATAATACATTAATTAACTACGTAACATGCGCGAACAAACTCGATTTCTCATTTAAATAATAATAATATGAATAATAATCATAATAAGATAAGATACCGAGCGTCCGCACATGTTACGTAATTATTGTATAAACAATCGGGTTCCCGAAAATTTTGGGTAATGAGTACCCACTACCTGAAAACGTTGACTACTCACAAAATCGGATATTACCCGGTTAACGGGTACCCAGGTATTACCCACATCAAATCAAAAGCATTACTCTGTAAGCGACGAAAAATGCACTTATAACGGCTGTTTGTTCCGTTCCTGGCATTTTTGATCATTATAAGCAGCTGATTCTTTTAACCAGTGAACACTATAAGCGGCGACCACTGTATGTAATTGGGAATGCTTTTTCTAAATAAATAAAAAAGTGGCAGTACACAATTATAGAACTAATACTCGAAATTGTTTTAATAAAATTTCTGTTTAAATTCAAATTAGAATTTATTTTGTATAATAATTTATTAATAATTAATTAAAATAAAAAATTAATTATTTTTTTTTATTAATTAATAAAATCTAATTATTAGATTTTATCGTGAAAATGTACTGTTTGAAGACAATAGATAAATGCCGGTACATGCATCCAGAAACGTGCCAAAACAAACAGTAATATTATCACTAAAAACCGGATTTATATGTTTTTACATATCGTTACTGGGTCTATGCAGTTTTATGAGAGTAAAAAATGTGAACGATTCGTTCAATTCTAAGTTCGTAGACAAAAATTTTTTTGCATATTTAAGAATATTTCATAGGTTAGAGAATACGAGTATTTAGCCCACTTAGCACATTTTAGAATATTTGACTTTGGTGTCATCGTTAGAGATTGTATAAATTACTCGTAATATCTGCAAACTAACCAGTATACCTGGTGAAAAGGGTAACGTAAGTAAACATAAGTGTCTCAGTTACGTTAAAAAAATAAAGATTACCAAATGATAGTAAAATTTGGGAACATTTTATAAGGAAAAAATGAAAATCTCCAGATTATTTTACACCCAGTGTAGTTGCTGATATGAATTATGCACCATTAACATCTTTTGATGTTGAACGTTCATTTAGTCTCTATAAACAAATTTTAAGCGATAAAAGAACTAACATGAATACAGAAAATATGGACAAATATATTATTGATAATTCATATAATACAATTTAAATAGTATTTCAAGTTTCTTTTTTATTCTTCAGAAAGTAAATATTTACCATCGTGTGCACCAAAGAAATATTGTTTTTTTTTTTTTTTTATACTTATATATATACCTATATTATTATTTTATATTTTGTATTAAATAATTATTATTTAAGGATTACCTTTTTTCAACTATTTTTTTTTTTTTTTGTTTTACTATATTTTAATATATTCGAGTATGATTGTTATTTCTTCATATTGTGGCTATAGCGTTAATACAACATTTAATTAAAATATACCAAAGGAATATTGTTTTTAAATTTTAATACTATAGGCCAGTGCTTCCCAAACTTTTTTGACTCATGGCGTATTTTTTGATTTAAGGTTTTTTCAAGGCGCCCTTCTCTAAATCATAGCATGACTTATCATAAGGAAAATGTTAGACCCGATAGTATTTCATGACGGCGCGGCGCACACTTTGGGAACCAATGCTATAGGCTATACTGTTATATTTTTACTACATTCTTACTCCTAATGAAGTACAATAATATTTCATTATAATACGCAATTTCATATATACCTCACGATTAAAAAAATGTTATAAAAAAAAAAAAATTGTAAAAATGCATATTAAAACATATATTGATGTTTGTTGATTATTTTTGCATAATTTCGAATATTCTTACTCATTTTTAAGAGAATATAAATCCGGTCTTTAGTAATCACTCTCGTTGTGAATTTCCATTTGAGGAATTTCGTTTTTGAATTATTTCATACCTCATGAAATACATTTTAATCTATGAAATTTTATGGTGGGAATCTCATAATTTAAATCATACAGTTTTTAAATTAAAAATTATATTAAATGCCTTTTTAGTTTCTTATCCTATATAATAAAATAAATATTCTTGACATGAAGTACTAATTACTTTCAACTAATTGAATGTTAAATTTTAACTAATTTCATGTATTAAGATACTTAAAGTACTAAGATAATTATAAATAATTTGAATTATCCATATCAGAAGGAAAAAAAACTGATGAAAATTATGGTTTTTTTTTTTTTATACGCTGGTAAAATAATCGTATTTTTATGTACAATAGTAACATATCTATTGTGCATTATACAAAAGGCTAAATTATCTTATGTAGGTAACGTTACGAGGGCATGTTTCAAATCAATTATAGTCGTTGAAAAATCATTATTTCATTTCAAAACTTTTTCTATGTTTTTCAAAATTCAATATTACTATAATCGTACATTCAATATATAATATTTACGTCACTGAAACATAATTTATTGAAAATGTATATTATTTTATCTTAAAATATGTTCAAATATGCAAAAAAAAAATTTTTTTGCCATTCATTTACACGTTATATGATTTGTAAAAATTTCGAGCTACCGTCCAACTGTATAATATCAAAAAACAAAAGAAATAATAATATGAGAAAGAATAAAATTTTGACCTATTTTTATACCTAAAGACTTAATTTATATGTTTTTACATATCATTACTGGGTCTATGCAGTCTTATGAGAGTAAAAAAATGTAGACGATTCGTTAAATTCTGAATTCAGAGAAAAAAGTTTTTTTCCATATTTGAGAATATTTCATAGATTAGAGAATATTTAGTCCATTTAGCATATTTTAAAATATATTACTTTGGTGTCATCGTGGGAGATTGTACAAACTATTATCTGTAAACTAACCAATATACCTAGTGAAAAGGATAACATAATAAAAACTAAAGTGTCTCAATTATGTCAAAAAAATAAAGGTTACCAAAAGTCAGTAAATGTTGGGATCATTTTATGTGGAAACAATAAAGATTTCAAAGAATATTTTACACTTAGTGTAGTGTTGCTAACATGAAGTTTGCACCTAAACATCTGTTCGTTACAATAACGCGACAACACTGACCAAGGTAGCCTAGACGTATGCTCGGAAGGCCATCGCGGCGAGCCAGCAGCGTTCGCTACGGCTGATCGCCATAGTTAGCCGGGTCACCGGTGGTCGGTAGAAGGGCTACGTCAACGACACTGTGGTCTAGACGTTCGACCGACGATGTCCCGTTCCAGCCGAACCGGCCATTGGTGAACGGGTTTCTTCCGTATCCGCCACGGCGTGGAGTCCGTCAGGAAGAGCTTTTGAAGACGCGCGACCGCCGGGGCTACACTTGACTGTGCCTTGACGACTGGTGACCAGTTCGGCACGTCCATATGGACCCTGTGTCGTGCTAAAGATGTTCATGGATCAACCGTCATTCAGTTAATCAGTCCTCGCAGAAGATCTGAAGTCTCCATCTAACAAACGTACAACATAGCAAATTTGCGTTCAGTAGCTCAAATGTAGTGATGTTAGCTTTGATATTAGAGTTAACTTACCTATAGTCAAACTTTTAGGGAGATACGTGTTTTAAAAGTCGGTTTTTTCGATACTTTAGTTTTTAAATGAGTTATGATTAGGTACAATATTAAAATTTATGAAAACTCATAATTGCTTAAAAATCAAAATATCGGAATAAACCGACTAACTAAACACAAATAATATTCTTCCCATAAAGTATTATTATTGGCCAGTTCACTCTACTATTAAAGCTAATATCACTACATTTGAATTACTGAACATAAATTTGTTATGTTGTACGTTTGTCAGACGGAGATAACACATGTGGGTGTGGTGTGCTCTTATCTAACCCGCGGCTGTTTTAAGTTAAAACTAATATTCAACTAATCGACATCTGAATATGTGTAAAGTACACATTTTATTGTGTGAAATAAATTTACGAATTTAATTAATCGAATGTAATTTGTTTTTGTTAGACGTGAGATGGCACAATTCCATTGTTAATTAATATACAATTGTTCGGGATTATAGTTTTTAACGGGTGACTTTTTTTTATCTGTTGACAGTTCGATATAGTTTTACCAAATAGTAATAATATTATCTTATCTACTGCCAACGGCATGTCAAGTACGATTCGTTTTGCGCGTTGTAATTTATGTTGTCGAATATAAATCGCATCGAGCCTGTGCTCAAAGCCACACTACACACGATCCGACTTTAATTTCAATGTTGTTATTGGTCTGTGATAAAGAAACTAACGTTGTATACGAATCGTATAAAGTATATTAAAAACTTGCAACTGTGATTATAAAATAGTTGATGGGAGAACAATCCGAACTGAGGAACTTCGAAAAAAATCCGTAATCATAATTTTGTTATGAATTGGTAATTCAACCGGTGCATAGTTTTTCTTATGAGTATCTAATAATACTGTAGTAATATTATATTAAATATTAAGAAGGTAATGTACTACACGGTTAATAACATGTACTCTGCACATACAGTGTCAACTGAGTTAATAAATACGTAAATATAGTTTTATTATTATAATAGTTATCCATTTAGATAATTTGATTTTCTCTTTACAAATATGCTCTTTTCCCAATTATCGTCAATATAAATTATCGTTTGGTTTTTGCGACAAGCAAGTCCAGTATTATATTATGCATAAATACATACTTATTAAACCAGCCTAATTAAAAACCTTATTTAATGACAAAAATTCTTATTTAGAAATAATTATGTTATTTTTAAAAAGTTAAAAAATGTCATTATTTTTACTATTAATTTTTTTTTTTTAACCTAAGTTTATTGACTATTTTACACTATTATTATTAGGAACATAACCTAATAGCACGCTCATTACGCGTGGGAATATATATATATCAGATAATTTAAATAAAAAATATTTCAATAAAATATACTTCTCAAATGTTTTTAAAATGAAACTTGAACAATTCAGTTCATATTTTATCCTTTTAAAAACAAACCATATGCTATCTCATTTGACCTTTATTTAAATTACACTTCATAAAAACTATAATAATTATATATAAAGTATAATGTGAAGTTTAAATAATAAGTCATGGTACCTTATTAAAAATTATTATTTACAAATTACTCGATTCAAACTAACAGCAATGGGTGATAACGGAGGAAAAGGAGAAAAGATTATAACAAATCAATCATAGTGACTAGTGAGTGTGTATTATATATTATATATATATATATATTTCATTTTATTGATATTATAATCTGTTAATGTGGTTATTAAACAATGCAAAGGAATTATCTGTAAGTAGTTATTCAATTTTCTAGGTAATACATTATGTATTTAGTAATTTTGAGATTTTTTTCAGTTCTTGTGTCGTATACGTGGTATTCTAATAAGTTATTATAAAGTTAATATTTTTGTAGAAACCGCGTCAAATAATTATATTGCGTTACCGTTTAAATAATGAATGTTTGTTATAATTGTATAATAATGCTGCGTTTGGCCAATAAAATAATTATTATAATAATCGAACAGTATCGTGATATATTTAAATTTAATATGAACTAATTTTCTTGGAATATTACATCTACACATTGATATTGCATTGTAAATGACCGAAGGCTTAAATATCACTACAAGAAACGATTATCGGAATTATTTGTTGCAATGACTATAATATAATTATTTATGTACACATACGATGTACACTTATAAAAAAAAAAAGTCTATTGCTATACAGTGTTAAATACAATTTTTAGACTTTCGGATTTCACATATCACTTGCATTGTTCTTCTAAAACATCGTTATACGACTCAATGCGATTCAATCATATACCTATTACGTTGAGTGAGCATATCGAATATTTAACGTAGGTATTTATTGTAAAATGTACGAGCCATTGTAGAATATAGTAGGTATTCCCCTGTACTGTACAGTGCATCGTACTATATTATATGATACAACGTCATGTTTTTATAGACCTCCGAGTTTTCACATCATTAATAACACTCACTATAATTACATAGCATCATTTATAATACATTACAAATTTCAAAAGATAGGCAATGGCTATTTATAATTGATAACACTCAAATACCGAATTTTAATTAATCATTTCAAGCTATACAAACTAAATACATATTTTTCCATTAATAATAATAGTTCAATTAATGAAAACATCAATGTAGAAATTAATAATTTTTACTACAGTATTAGTAGTGAATATTATAATAATAATAACATTGAAAACCTGAAATTTATGATTCAGTTATAGTTTTATTTTTATATTATTTTTTTTATATTAAAATGGAAAATTTACAATCTGTAACATACTCAAATAAGATAACATAAAGTGGAAAACATTAAAATGATAATTAAGTAGTACGAGAAGAAAGACTGTCCAGCGACAGATCTATCAAGTAATTTATAGTTAAAATAATACGATATTATATTGTAATTATGTTTTATTCGTCATCAAAAACTTTTTATTTGGCACGAGTCAAACAGAAAAAACAGCTAATAATTATTAGTTGTTTTTTTCTTAATAATTAGTTAATTACTAAATTATTTGTTTAATTCTAAATCATCAACATATTTATAATCGTTAAATTAAATAATAAATATATAAATATGTTAAGAATAAATTAGTAGCGAATATGTTGGAATAATATTCTCGCACAAAATTTATTAGATATTCGTATATTAGATAATTTTTTCTATAGAGAATTCATTTTTTACTGAATATAATAATATTCATTTTCTTTTCATCCATATAACTCACTTGATTTTTTTTTTTGAAATTCCGATTTATTACAAAAGGAACTGGAAATGAAGCTAAAAATTATAAATGCCATCGAAAGAATCTTATCACAATATTTTATATATTTTTATTTTTTTTGTAAACAATAATAAGGATCGGATCATTTTTTTTACATGTATAGTTTATAAATATTTAAATTTTGTATGAAACGGTTAATAGCTAATGAAAAAAGCTAATAGTTTTAATTTAATATGTTGACGACGCAGCATCATTTCAAAATGATAAAAAAAAATCTGCTCATAACTACCATTAATGCAAAACTAAAATTATATATCAACCTTAGATTTATTTTTTGATATTTATTATATTACACATAGGAATATAATTTAAATATTGTTTATTTTTCCAGTTTCATCACGTCAAAGTTCTGCTCTTGAAAACCTAAAATATATAATATAACCATTGTACAACTTACAAATTATTATTGATTGTGTGGTTTTTTTTATTATTAATTGTCTTAAACGTTGCCAAATATATTAGAGATTTATGTGGTCTAACAAGTCCAAAATCATTTTCGTGAAATTCGGGATATATTAAATTGTAAATGATTTAACAAATTGGTCGATGTTAACGATATATAAACGATGCACTTAAATCAAATACGCGATTTTTTTCACTTGTGTTGTTAGGTACTCAAAAGTTATTTTAACATAATTTATAATAAGATTTGGTTTTCGTTCAAAATATATTGTTTATTGGCTTATTGTATTACTATAATAGCCTTGGTCAGGGTTTGAAATCGAAATAAAAAATTTCGACTTTAATTTCAATTTTGATTTTTGATATAAATTTTTTTTTTTTAATTTCAATTTTGGATTCAAATATTGATATTTATTTTTTGTAATTTCGTTTTTGATTTCGAATATCGATATTCATTTTTTTTAATTTCGGTTTCAGAAATCGGTATTTATTTTTTTTCGATTTCGGGTTCACAACAAAATGTTATCCATGACCTATAATAATTTCTCAAATTTTAGTACATCATCAGAATAATAGCGTTGTTACCTAATAGTGTTGTTAGAACGTTTTCTGCACTAAATCGCTTAAAAAATTATTTAAGAAACACCATGCAGGAAAACAGACTGAATGGGTTAGCTATGGCTAATATAAATAAAATGAAATTGAAATAATAACTGAATTTGCCAAAAATTCGCCTAAGAGAATACAGCTGTCAAAGTGGAGTAAGTGACTGAACACTGAAACCAAAATTATTATTGTTATTATAAATTATAAATAAATAAATATTTTAAAACTATACTAAAATGCTTGAATTACATTTAAAAACTTGGTGGTAGATGGTGGTGAGGGTTAAGGGTGAATTCTCATATTCTCTCTTACCTTACTTATCCAAAAAAGTGATTAGCCCCTACCATTTAAAAATCCTGGCTACGCCACTTTTGTAGGCTGTAGCAACAAGCTACTAATGTAGGGAGTATATATTTAAATCCATTTTTTTATTACCTATGTTATAAAACATTTCGTACAAACTACAATTGTTATTAAATTGTCTCAATAATGAAAAAACATAATATGAAAGTGAAACTAAAATGAAGTAAACTAGGGATAAATCTATGTGAAATTGTTAAAATGTAAACTAAAGTTTTTTATTCATAGACTCAGACATAATTTAACTAAATTTGAGAAAAATGTTTTAAATTATAAGTGGGACAAATATGACGACGCATAGCAAAACTGTAAAAGTACAAAATAAAACTATTTTAGGTTATTTGATTGTATATTATTGGTTAAAAAAATAACTCACGGGTGACAGCTGATGAAGTATTATAAATTAATATCTTATCACTAATAATAAACTACAAAATGTCAATATATAGTACAGGAGCGTATTTATGGAGAGGCTGAGAGGGCCCGGGCCCCCTCAGAAATGAAAAACACCATTGTTAAAAATTGTTATTTTTAACATGGATATTTCTTAATGATGAGAGTTTCCAAAAATTTGTCGTGACACTGAGAATGTTGCTTATGCGATAATTTAAAATTTTATATCTATAAAATATGTTTATTATTTTAAGAAAATATGTGGTAAATTTTGAGTAACTCTAATAA